GCCTAGCTAAGCCAAGCCTAGCTAAGCCTAGCCTAGTTAAGCCTAGCCTAGTTAAGCCTTGCCTAGCTAAGCCTAGCCTAGCTAAGCCTAAACCTAAGCCTAGTTAAGCCTAAGCCTAGTTAAGCCTAAGCCTAGGCCTAGTTAAGCCTGAGCCTAAGCCTAGTTAAGCTTGAGCCTAAGCCTAGTTAAGCCTGAGCCTAGCTAAGCCTAGCCTAGCTAAGCCTAGCCTAGCTAAGCCAAGCCTAGCTAAGCCTAGCCTAGCTAAGCCTAGCCTAGTTAAGCCAAGCCTAGCTAAGCCAAGCCTAGCTAAGCCTAGCCTAGCAGCCTACCCTAGCTAAGCCAAGCCTAGCTAAGCCAAGCCTAGCTAAGCCTAGCCTAGCTAAGCCAAGCCTAGCTAAGCCTAGCCTAGTTAAGCCTTGCATAGCTAAGCCTTGCCTCGCTAAGCCTAAACCTAAGCCTAGTTAAGCCTAAGCCTAGGTCTAGTTAAGCCTGAGCCTAGGCCTAGTTAAGCCTGAGCCTAAGAATAGTTAAGCCTAGCCTAGTTAAGCCTAGCCTAGCTAAGCCAAGCCTAGCTAAGCCTTGCCTAGCTAAGCCTAGCCTAGCTAAGCCAAGTCTAGTTAAGCCTAAGCCTAGTTAAGCCTAGCCTAGTTAAGCCTAAGCATAGTTAAGCCTAAGCCTATGCCTAGTTAAGCCTAAGCCTAAGCCTAAGCCTAGTTAAGCCTGAGCCTAAGCCTAAGCCTAGTTAAGCCTGAGTCTAAGCCTAAGCCTAGTTAAGCCTAAGCCTAAGCCTAGTTAAGCCAAGCCTAGTTAAGCCTAAGCCTAGTTAAGCCTACGTCTAAGTCTACTTAAGCCTAAGCCTAAGCCTAGTTTAGCCTAAGCCTATTTAAGCCTAAGCTTAAGCCTAAGCCTAGTTAAGCCTAAGCCTAGTTAAGCCTAAGCCTAAGCCTAGTTAAGCCTAAGCCTAGTTAAGCCTAAGCCTAAGCCTAGTTAAGCCTAAGCCTAGTTAAGCCTAAGCCTAAGCCTAGTTAAGCCTAAGCCTAGTTAAGCCTAAGCCTAGTTAAGCCTAGGTCTAAGCCTAGTTAAGCCTAAGCCTAGTTAAGCCTAAGTCTAAGTCTACTTAAGCTTAAGCCTAAGCCTAGTTTAGCCTAAGCCTATTTAAGCCTAAGCTTAAGCCTAAGCCTAGTTAAGCCTAAGCCTAGTTAAGCCTAAGCCTAGTTAAGCCTAAGCCTAAGCCTAGTTAAGCCTAAGCCTAGTTAAGCCTAAGCCTAGTTAAGCCTAGCCTAGTTAAGCCTAGAGTAGCTAAGCCTAGCCTAGCTAGGCCTAGCCTAGCTAAGCCAAGTCTAGTTAAGCCTAAGCCTAGTTAAGCCTAGCCTAGTTAAGCCTAAGCATAGTTAAGCCTAAGCCTATGCCTAGTTAAGCCTAAGCATAGTTAAGCCTAAGCCTAAGCTTAAGCCTAAGCCTAAGCCTAGTTAAGCCTGAGCCTAAGCCTAAGCCTAGTTAAGCCTAAGCCTAAGCCTAGTTAAGCCTAGGCCTAAGCCTAGTTAAGCCTAAGGCTAAGCCTAGTTAAGCCTAGTTAAGCCTAGCCTAGCTAAGCCAAGCCTAGCTAAGCCAAGTCTAGTTAAGCCAAGTCTAGTTAAGCCAAGCCTAGTTAAGCCTAAGCATAAGGCTAGTTAAGCCTAAGCATAGTTAAGCCTAAGACTAAGCCTAGTTAAGCCTAAGCCTAAGGCTAGTTTTGCCTAAGGCTAGTTAAGCGTAAGGCTAGTTAAGTGTAAGGCTAGTTAAGCCTAAGCATAGTTAAGCCTAAGCCTAGTTAAGCCTAAGCCTAAGGCTAGTTAAGCCTAGCCTAGTTAAGCCTAGCCTAGCTAAGCCTAGCCTAGCTAAGCCAAGCCTAGCTAAGCCTAGCCTAGTTAAGCCTAGCCTAGTTAAGCCTAAGCATAGTTAAGCCTAAGCCTAAGCCTAGTTAAGCCTGAGCCTAAGCCTAAGTCTCGGTAAGCCTAAGCCTAAGCCTAGTTAAGCCTAGGCCTAAGCCTAGTTAAGCCTAAGCCTAGTTAAGCCTAGCCTAGTTAAGCCTAGAGTAGCTAAGCCTAGCCAAGCTAGGCCTAGCCTAGCTAATCCAAGTCTAGTTAAGCCTAAGCCTAGTTAAGCCTAGCCTAGTTAAGCCTAGCCTAGTTAAGCCTAAGCATAGTTAAGCCTAAGCCTATGCCTAGTTAAGCCTAAGCATAGTTAAGCCTAAGCCTAAGCCTAAGCCTAAGCCTAGTTAAGCCTGAGCCTAAGCCTAATTAAGCCTGAGTCTAAGCCTAAGCCTAGTTAAGCCTAAGCCTAAGCCTAGTTAAGCCTAAGCCTAAGGCTAGTTCAGCCTAAGGCTAGTTAAGCCTAAGCATAGTTAAGCCTAAGCCTAAGTCTAGTTAAGCCTAAGCATAGTTAAGCCTAAGCCTAAGCCTAGTTAAGCCTGAGCCTAAGCCTAAGCCTAGTTAAGCCTAAGCCTAAGGCTAGTTTTGCCTAAGACTAGTTAAGCGTAAGGCTAGTTAAGCCTAAGCATAGTTAAGCCTAAGCATAGTTAAGCCTAAGTCTAGTTAAGCCTAAGTATAGTTAAGCCTAAGCCTAGGTCTAGTTAAGCCTAAGCCTAAGCCTAAACCTAGTTAAGCCTAAGCCTAAGCCTAGTTAAGCCTAAGCCTAGTTAAGCCTAAGCCTAGTTAAGCTTAAGCCTAAGCCTAGTTAAGCCTAGCCTAGTTAAACCTAGAGTAGCTAAGCCTAGCCTAGCTAGGCCTAGCCTAGCTAAGCCAAGTCTAGTTAAGCCTAAGTCTAGGTCTAAGTCTACTTAAGCCTAAGCCTAAGCCTAGTTAAGCCTAAGCCTAGTTAAGCCTAATTTAAGCCTAAGCCTAGTTAAGCCTAAACCCAGTTAAGCCTGAGCCTAAGCCTAGTTAAGCCTAAGGCTAAGCCTAGTTAAGCCTAGGCCTAAGCCTAGTTAAGCCTAAGGCTAAGCCTAGTTAAGCCTAGCCTAGTTAAGCCTAGAGTAGCTAAGCCTAGCCTAGCTAGGCCTAGCCTAGCTAAGCCAAGTCTAGTTAAGCCTAAGTCTAGGTCTAAGTCTACTTAAGCCTAAGCCTAAGCCTAGTTAAGCCTAAGCCTAGTTAAGCCTAATTTAAGCCTAAGCCTAGTTAAGCTTAAGCCTAGTTAAGCCTGAGCCTAAGCCTAAGCCTAGTTAAGCCTAAGCCTAAGCCTAGTTAAGCCTAGGCCTAAGCCTAGTTAAGCCTAAGGCTAAGCCTAGTTAAGCCTAGCCTAGCTAAGCCAAGCCTAGCTAAGCCAAGTCTAGTTAAGCCTAGCCTAGTTAAGCCTAAGCCTAAGCCTAGTTAAGCCTAAGCATAGTTAAGCCTAAGCCTAAGCTTAAGCCTAAGCCTAAGCCTAGTTAAGCCTAAGCCTAGTTAAGCCTAAGCCTAAGCCTAGTTAAGCCTAAGCCTAGTTAAGCCTAAGCCTAGTTAAGCCTAGGTCTAAGTCTACTTAAGCCTAAGCCTAAGCCTAGTTAAGCCTAAGCCTAGTTAAGCCTAAGCCTAAGCCTAGTTAAGCCTAAGCCTAGTTAAGCCTAAACTTAAGCCTAAGCCTAGTTAAGCCTAAGCCTAGTTAAGCCTAAGCCTAAGCCTAGTTAAGCCTAAGCCTAAGCCTAGTTAAGCCTAAGCCTAGTTAAGCCTAAGCCTAGTTAAGCCTAAGCCTAAGCCTAGTTAAGCCTAAGCCTAGTTAAGCCTAAGCCTAAGCCTAGTGAAGCCTAAGCCTAAGCCTAAGGGCTTAGGCACTTTCTCCACCTGAAACGCCCTTCCTCCTTTTCTCTGCATCATGAACTTCTCATCAGTCTTCAGGTCTCACACAGGCTGTGGTGTTTGTGATACCTGTGACATCAGGGTCTTCATTCCTTCCTATCAGGCTATATAGCATGTCTTGTCGTTAATTATCCAGTGCCGTACCCTTTTCAAAATTGATTTGCAGCAGCTTATAAAAATACATGCTGCAGTAAAAGTACATGCTCTTATGGATGAACATATGAGCAAGTGGACTATGAGGATAGGAACATAAAGTCAAGAATTAAGTTAGGATAGAAGTTCCACCACGGCCCGCACGATGCGGGAGCAGCTTTGGCGTGTACTCCGAGCTTCCTCATCAAAGTGAACCGGGAAGCAGGGACTCGGAGTGTTCCCAGCATAAAGCCAGTTGCTCCAGAGAAAAGCTTTTCCTGTTGCTGAGAACTGAGAGGTGTTTCTGGGCTGAGTGGAAGGTAGGGGTGAAGTGGTTACAGGAGGCGCTAAAACACAGCTGTTTCTTGGTCTAGCTTAACCCGATGACAAAATGCAGAACCCAAGGATTAACATCATATCCTGTTGTAGTTATTGTTTTACATCTACTCCCCTTCTTCCCCCCCAAATGATCAGCTTCTCTCAGGCAGGGACCGTGTTTTCCTTTGCTTTGATCAATGATAGGAAACCTTAAGAGGAAGAACGAGGAGAACGGTCTATTGATTGTGATCTGCCCGGGAATCATCATAATGCTCTGATTAGAATTCTACTCAGAAAGTCAGATTCATGTCTGAGATCCAAGATCTGTAAATCAGTGGTTGTAAGTTTTCTTCACTGTTTCAGGGACTAACCTGTGTCTAAGGCGGTTTTCACACAGTAAATGCACTGGCCACCCGACGTGGCAGAAGCGACTGCAGCTGGGCTAGTCTGCCACTAGTGCTGACGTAAGAGAGCCTTGAAAGCACTTAGCCCAGTCAGCAGTGCTCAGTTTTAAATTTAATTTTCCCTTTGTTTACTGCATTTGGGGTTAAGTGTCTTACATTACTACATTGTCATGATTCGTGAGGCAGAAAGCAAAAACAGCAGATGTATTGAATGACTTCAGTTCTCCCCAAATAGCTCTTCTTTCTATTATTTATGTCAACTATGTCCTCTGATGACATAAGACTTTTTACTTTTTATTTTTTTTCTAAGGCCTCCTTTCCTTTTTTGTACACTTAGGAACTTGATAAAGAACTCCCTGTGCTGAAGCCATACTTTGTCAATGACCCGGAAGCAGCGGGAGCCAGCGGGGCCGGCCTGAGAGTCACGTGGCTGGGACATGCCACGGTCATGGTGGAGATGGACGAGCTCACCTTTCTCACAGACCCCATGTTTAGCTCTCGTGCCTCACCGTCGCAGCACATGGGCCCAAAGCGTTTTCGGCACGCACCGTGCTCGGTCAGCGAACTGCCCCACATCGACGCCGTCCTCATCAGCCACAACCACTACGACCACCTGGACTACGGCTCCGTCCTCTCTCTGAATGAGCGATTCGGCAATGACTTGAGGTGGTTCGTGCCACTGGGTCTCCTCGACTGGATGCAGAAATGTGGCTGTGAGAACGTGATCGAGCTGGACTGGTGGGAGGAGAACTGTGTCCCCGGACATGACAAGGTCACCTTTGTCCTGACACCTTCCCAGCACTGGTGTAAGAGGACTCTGTTGGATGACAACAAGGCTCTGTGGGGCAGCTGGTCTGTGTTGGGCCCTTGGAATCGGTTCTTTTTCGCAGGAGACACTGGTTATTGCTCTGCTTTTGAAGAGATAGGAAGGAGATTTGGACCTTTCGACCTTGCCGCTATTCCCATCGGAGCATATGCACCAAGGTACATGTGCTTCCAAAACAACAGCAACATTCCCGCTATTGTTATTCCGGGATAAGCTAACTGAACGTCAAAGTAATATAGTCATGGTTTTGTGATACCATGTACAATAATTTGTGATTTTATTGGTGGCCTTTGTTATACATTGGTTGGGGGTTAGTAAAAATTCAGTTAAAATTTTTAAATAGTCATATTCATTACATAACTATTTGAAACCAGAAATTATATTACCAACAAGAACATTTCTGTACCCAGCCCAGAACTTCACACACCATTTTGGCTGAAGTTAAGCTGATCAGCCAGGATCAGACCTAACCCTTGTTCTCCCTGCCACTAGGAGGATACTCTCCTCCTGTAACCATTCTGCTGCATGGCGGGAGTGCACCCTGGCTCCAAAGCGTTTTGGAGCGCTCCTGTGTGAACCAGAGGAAGTCCAGGAGTGGGCCATAGCAGGACTCGCTTGTGTTGGCCTCATTTCAGTCAGCACTGAGTTCAGTCTGGTAATGACATTGTTGCATGGCTCACCCCTTGCCTTCCAACCTACCTACTCATCACCTGTCTTTGGAGTGGATGAAGGCCACACAAACTTTTGGGAACTAGGAGACCCACTGCCTGTGTTTTCCTTAATCCTGTCTATTTAAGGAAAAGAGGAGTTATTTCAAATAATTAAATTAGATTGCAGTCAACTCCGGTTATTATGCACAAGTTAAGAGAAAATAAAAACTAACAGTAACAAAGTCAACACATAACACAGTGCATTGAGCAAGCCTGATCATTGGTTCCCATCTGATTTTGTTTTACTTATTTAACTTTCTAAGTTCACTAAAACTGTTTTTATTAACGCTCATGTCTCCCATTTATGTTTCTTTCTAGTTTCTTCAAGTGCCTAGATATTTTTACCTTATTTAAAAATTTTATTTTAAATTATTAATAGGGCTTGAATTTCACTTTTCCACTTAATTCTTCTTTTTTTCTTTTTTTTTACATTGTAAAGCAGTTTATTTTAGTTTTATGTGTCCCTCCCAGAATAGAGGTCCCTGAATCCCGTTTACAAAATATGTCTAGTGCCACATGGCCTCAGGGTGGGCCAAGGGCTGTTCCTTGGAGCTCTCAGCCAGGATGGGCATTGCGAGGTGACCACCTCAGTAACTTAGTGACGGGGGACAAATTCCTCTCCTGTGTCCCCATCTCCTGTGAAATGGTACCACTGGGCCCCTAGATGAGGAAGCCCAGGGCTTTATGTCAAAGGCACTGGTGTACTGGCCGCAGTGGCCTATGGGCCAGGAGGTAGCCATCGGACAGGTTGTAAGGTAACAGGAAGCTGTCCCTCTCCTGGACACCCCCTTACTCCCCACGTGCCATCACCCCCATGTGCCAGAGTCCCCGGGTCCCACGGGCCTACAAAACCTCCTTGGCAGTCAAGGTCGGAGGCCGGGAGCCCAGAGCAGCTGGGAGAGCCTGGAGAGCTTCAGGAAGCCACCACCACAGCCTCCAGGGTGCCCAGGCCGGCCCATCCCAAGTGGCTGAGTGGGGGCGTCATACCTCTGATTCTATTATATTCAACAGTTAATATTGTTCATCAGATTTTTTTTTAATTTCCTTGGTTTTTAGATTCACTTGTTGATAGTTACATATTTGTTGTTCATAATTTTTATCTTTATTTACTTTCTCTTCTGAAAGAACCCCCTTCAGCAGTTCATATAATTCTGGTTTGGTGTTAATGAACTCCTTTAGCTTTTTTTTAATTAGTGAAGCTCTTTATCTGGCCTTCGATTCTGAGTGATAGCTTTGCTGGATAGATTATCTTTGGCTGTAGGTTCTTACTATTCATCACCTTGAATATTTCTTGCCATTCCCATCTGGCCTGCATGGTTTCTGTTGAGAAATCAGCTGACAATCGGATAGGTGCTCCTTTATAGGTAACTATTGTACCTTCTTTGCTCTTGTTGCTTTTAATATTCTTTGTCTTTTGCTCTTGGAATTTTAATTATGATTTGTCTTGGTGTGGTCCTCTTTGGATTCCTTTTGTTTGGGGTTCTGTGCGCTTCCTGGACTTGTAAGTCTAATTCTTTCACCAGGTGGGGGAAGTTTTCTGTCACTATTTCTTTCAGTATGTTTTCGATATCTTGCTCTCTCTCATCTTCTGGGACCCCCATAATTCTGATGTTGGTTCGCTTGAAGTTGTCCCAGAGGTTTCTTACATTACCTTTAATTTTCTGGATTCTCTTGCCTTCTAGCTTCTGCGGAGGAGTGTCTTCTGGCTCTTTATGTTCCAAATCTTTGACTTGATTCTTGCAATCTTCCATTCTGTTTTTAGGACTCTGTATAATATTTTTTATTTGTCAATGTATTCTTTATTTCTTGTTGATCCCTTATCATTTCTTGTTGATTCCTTATTAATTCTAGTTGATCCCTTTTCATATCCTCATAGGTCTTATCCATCTTTTCTAGGAAATTCTTGAAAAACCTTTTAAGTGTAGATTTGAACTCTATATCCAGTCGCTTTTTGTCCTCCATTTCTTTCGTTTGTGATCTATTTCGTCTCGGCATTTTCGCAGCTTTTCTGAGTTGGTAACCTTAAAAGTCTCTGTGTTCTGCTTAGATGGGGTGGTCTCCACTTAATTCTTATTCTGAATTCTAATAAAACCTCTCAAAACACCATCCAAGGTGTTTACAAATCAACTTTGTATGATACTTTATTCAATATATGTCTTTCATATGTTAGAATATCTCATTTATAATTATGAAAATAAGTTTTCATATGTAGCAAAATGGAAACTTATCAGATACAGGGTGTCCCAAAAAAATGTATATACACTTAACAGCTAATGGCTCAATTGTTTCTTTTTTTCAGATTTAACCCGTTGGAATTAATAATTTTTCAAAGTGTGTATACATTTTTTTGGGGCCACCTTACACCAGTATATGCGACAATATAAATTCACTCATGTGATTCCCTCTTTCTGCTTGTATTGGAGCTGTCCTGTTACTGAGGTGGTAAAAGGACTGGGGGTGGGGGTGGGGCATCATTTGCTCTAAGAAAAGTAAACTGTGGAAGCTTTTACTGTGTAATCACTGCATAGTATCAACAGTTTTAAAATTAGGTTATCTATCAAAACTCTAGAGTACTCTATATATTTAAGGTGATTACACAAAAAGTGACTTTCCATAACAGACTTGGGATGTTATCCTTACTTTAGGAGTTTCTATCCAAGTCCGTTAGAAGTTTGAGTTTTTGTTTGACATTTGCACTGGAGTAAACCTTTATTTCGGATAGACAGGAAGGTAGAAAGGAGTATGCTTCTTTGATTTGCAGTAGGAATTTAAAAAAATGGACGGAGGCACCAGTAACGGTTCTTATCTCGCCCTGCGTCCTGAGTGTCAGGAGCAGTGCCTCTCTCCTCTGCCGGAGAACGGTGTCTTTGGCTCCCCGAGGGCTCGGCAGTTCCTACAGTAAATAACCACCTCTGGCTGTAAGCGATGGATGAGCTGCTCCATGATGTGTCCATAACGGGTAGAAGCACCTGTGCTGGTCCCTGTCCATCTGACCTCACCCCCGCAGTAGTGGGCAGTAGCAGACCGGGATATAAGTTATGTGCAGACAGTGTTTTTTCTCTTCTAAACTAATGGCTGGGAAAGCAAAGGATGTGCCTGTAGATAGTACACTTCCCTTTTTATTAGAAATAATTCTTTCTCCTGAAAGTGTTCCTTGCTCTTTCCAAGGCAGCCTTTCAGTGTTCCTACACCCTAATTATCCCCTCATGAACCCCGTCTTCTTGTCCAACCAAAACACCTCCCTGTTCAGTTGTATGCTGTTTAAAGAAAATCCTCAGGTAGTAATTGGGGTGTTTTGTTTTTGTTTTTGTGCTCCTGATCTTTAAATATTAAACATGAATTTTTGTTGGCTTTTCAATTTAGCAAGCTTTTTAAAAATTCTTTTTATTTTATCATTGAAATCTTTATTGTTGAAAGTATTAGATAAGTCCCCTTTTAAAAAATCTGTTTCAGCAAGTTTTTCATGTTCTTTTGCAAGTAGACTTTTAGCTTCTAATTCTTTCCCATTGTTTTGATTCATACCAGGATTGCGAACTATCTACTTTTTTTAAAGCAACAGTAAGACATTTTCAGAATAAACCATCAATAAAATCAAAATACACATAGCACCAAGTCTTACTATTCAAAGGAGAGTTTTGCTTGAGACTTATCTGTTGTACAGCAGTTTGTACATGGAACATTTTTGCTTTCGTTTTTTCTAGAAGTAGACTTAAAGGAGATGGTTTTGCCTACTGTGACTATTTTCCTGTGTAGAATCTTAAAGGTTGATTAGATGAAGCAGTCATTATATATTTCAAAGGCTTGAATTAATAAATTGCTGTGTTTCATCAGGTGGTTTATGAAATACCAGCATGTGGACCCAGAAGAAGCTGTAAGGATACACATTGATGTTCAAGCAAAGAAATCTGTGGCCATTCACTGGGGAACTTTTGCCTTAGCAAATGAGGTCAGTCTGTGATAAAAATAACTGGTGTGTTTGATCTATGTAAGATTCAGGCATTACCACTCCCTTTGGTGTCTTCAGAGATGAAACTAGAATCAGAAGCTGTGTGATTCATAGTCATCACAGGAAGTATTATAGTAACTCATGAATTAGTAAAACAGTATTTATATTGTGAAAAAACCCTCCTTGCATGCTGTTTTTTTACTTATTTCTGTAATGAAGCGAATGTTTATATAACAAAACATGAGTGTAGTCTTGGGAAACAGAAAAATGAACCACCATGTCTTCTCAGGGAGTCTTTCTTTCTAGATCATATAAGACGTATACATTATAACTCTAAAACAGATGTCAAAGGGGTAAGTGGCCTCAGAATCAGGGATAGTTACGATTGGAGGGATCAGGGAGAGCTTTATGGAAGAAGTGACATTTGAACTTGGCCATGAGAAGGCATTTCAAGAGGAAAGGGCATAGTGTAGGATCGGAAGCAGCACCAGGTAGTAGGAATTCTGTTCAGTCAGAGTATGGATGTCATATGGAGGGAAATGGAGGAAGTAAGGCTGGACAACTTAGAACTTTTTAGAAATGTTAAACATTGATTCAGTGTTGGCTCAATGCCAGGTGTTGGGAGAAATGGTACTTTTACTCATAGACTTAGAGAAGAGCTGATTTTTTAAAATTAAAATTGATTTCAGAGAGGAAGAGAGGGAGAGTGAGATAGAAACATTAGAAATGAGAATCATCCATTGCCAGTCTTACACTGGGGATCGAGCCTGAAACCTGGGCATGTGTGTTGACTGAGAATTGAACCTAGACCTCCTGGCTCATATGTAGATGCTCAACCACTGAGCCAGGCAGGCTGGGAGAACTGACTTTTTGCTTAAGATAGCAGAACCCTAGAACCTAGCTACTAGCCAGTTCTGGAATCAAACAGGATAGAAGCAAGCTTTCTCGTCTTTCCTCGATCCAGGACCTGCCCTAAGCAAAATTTAGAAATGGCTGGTTGGCTTCTACTTTGCTTTATGTGACATCTTCCACATCCCAGGGCAGGAACTGTTTTCATGCTGTCAGCACTTCCTTTCCGCCCTGTTTTTGGCCTGCCCTTTCCCTAGGTTACAGCTTGTTCCAAAATTACCTAATACACTGCCTGCCCACTGCCTATTTCCCCACTCACAATCCCCTTATCGTGATGCAACAATCCTGAGCCACACTGTTGGAGATGGAATGGAATGAATGACCACAGGGATGGGGAGGATGAATGAGAATGTCTTTGTACCTGAAGAAGGGGAAGTTTGATGCTGGTTTCCATTGGTATACCACTATATTTGGTGGCATTTCCTATTCCATGTGTGTTCCATATAGAGATATATGCATATATATGCTCAACATGTAATTTAGAAATGTTAAAACTTAGTGACTTAGAATTATTTTATTAAACCTGTGCAGGGGAATCTGGGATGACATCTAGATTCTTCAGTGATTGTTGTGCTCTTTACTGAGGACAAGATAGAAAACCCCAGTCTTCATGAGTTATTATATTATTTAGCCTTCAAGAATTATTCCTGTTAAAAATCTTACTTCCATCTTTCTTAATGAAAGATGTAATAAAAACTCACTTAGCAATTAGGCATTTTGACATTTGTTGCATAAACCTGACAACTATGAATTTGTTAAATTATAAAATAGATAGCATTTTTGGGGAGGATGTTTTGCCTGATTTGTTAACACTTTAAAATGATTTGCATATAAGTAGATATATTAGCTGTTTATTATAAATAAGCAGATTAAGGACATTTCTTAACTCAGCAACACTGAAATCATACATGTAACAACATCGAATTTATCTAGGAAATGAGTGAATTTCCTAGATGATGTATTTAAGCACTAAAACTTAAAACTCAGTTCTGGGGAACACATAGTTCAAACATTACAAAACATGGTAACTTGTGAAATGACCAGGGTCTTTATCTCCTATTGGAGTAGATCATAAAACATAACCCTTAAGTGGGAATGTACGAGTTGTCTTGGGCAGTTCCTGGCCCTTATTGGCTTGAAGCTGGGAGCTTCTGCTCCCACCATTTACTCTTATTCTCCTCGCATGGAATGTCTTGCTTTATACAGTTGTTGGGCCCCAGGGCCGTGGGTATTTTTCTCTCTTGGAGGACTGAAGTGCTCCCACTATGAGACAGCTTCCAGTCACTAGGAAGCGCAGTTAGGCCCTTCTTCTGGGCCTATCTTGTGGATCAGGGGTGGGGAACATCCGACCCTGGGGCCGTATTAGGCCGGTGAAATCTTTTGGTCTGGCCCTGCCAGGGGATGAATTAAACGCATGACCAAATATAGAGGCTAATTTTTAAGTTGGTAATTTTGTATGGGCCATGATGTCATAAATATCCAAATGGCCCTTGGCAGAAAAGAGACTCCCCACCCCTCTTCCTCCAAGACTTATGAAGAAACTCATATTTTAGCATCAAAATCCATATCAAGTTACAGCTTACAACCAAAGTTATAGCTTAGCAGAGAAATTAGTGTAGGATGATTGTGTACTTATATTGTTGGCTAAGAGGTATAGGGAAAAGAATTGAACAAAACAAGGTTTTAAAAACATGTTTTTATTGATTTGAGAGAGAGAGGAAGGGAGAGGCATAGATAAATAGAAACACTGATGAGAGAGAAACAATCAGCTGCCTTCTGCATGCCCTTACTGGGGATTGAGCCCACAACCTGGGCAGGTGCCCTGACTGGGAACTGAACTGGTGACCTCTTGGTTCATGGGTTGATACTCAACCACTGAGCCACATTGATGGGGCTAAAACAAATTGTTTTTTTTAGTGGGAAAGAATTTCATCATTTTGAAATCTCATACGAAAATCATTTTTTCAAGGGCAATGTCTTGAAGGTGCTGACTTAAAGTTATATTTTATTGGTGATATGTTAAAACCCAAGTTATTCAGCACTTTGTGAAAAGGCATCTCTGACCCTCTAAACATAGCCATAAACCTGGAAGTGAGCAAGGGGGGAGAAAAAAACCTGTGTGTGGTGAATAACTGTTAACAAACCTATGCATTTTTAAAAAACTGATTCTTAGAAGGGAGAGGAAGAGAGAAGAACATCAATGTGAGGGTAAAACACCAATCAGGTGCCTCCTGCATGTCTCCTATCGGGGATTGAGCCCAAAATCTAGGCGTGTCCCCTGATTGGGAACTGGACCCATGGTCTCTTAGTTTCTGGGATGATGCCCAACTAACAAAGAGACACCCGCCAGGGCCAAACCTGTGCATTTTAAGACAGAAAACTTTCCTCATTTTTCTTGTACATCACTTGCTGTCCTTTCTTAGTCTCTGCTGCTAGTTCCTCGTTTATGCTTCCTCTAAGGCAGTGAGTACCTCAGGACTCAGCCAGGGACTTCTCTAGCTGGTCACTCCTATGGAGATTTCATCAACTTATGGCTTTAAATATTACTTATCAACTGTCTCTCTGATGCTCAGGTTTTTCCTGTAATCCACATTTATATTTCCAACTGCTTTCTTAACAATGGTACCAAAACCAAACTTTCTGAGCTTCCCTCAAATTTATTTCTCATCTCAGTAAGTGGCAAATCCTCCTTCCAGTTGCTCAGGCCAAAACCTTGACTTCTTTTTCTCTCATATCTTCCCTCCACCCAGTTTTCCCCCACATGCAATCAGCTCACCCTTCAAATTATATTAGGACTTTGCCATTTCTCATCGCCTTCACTGCTACATGCTGCCCTACAGTCTGTTCTCAACACTGCAGAGGATGGTGACCTTTACACACTGAATCAGACCATGACACTCCTCTGCTGAGCAGCTTCCCATCCTACTCGGCCAGAGCCACAGCCCTCACAATCGCCCGCAAAGCCCTGTGCATTGTCCCAGCAGGTCTTTGTTCAAATATCGCCTTCTCAGAGAGAACTTCTTGGACTGCTGTATTTAAAATGAAACCTCCACATTCCCACACTTTGTCCCCAGAATATATCAACCACTCAGATCAGATACTATTTTCTTACTCATTTCTTGTCTGTCTCTGTATTAGACTGCAAGCTCCAGGGTTCTGCTTGGTTCCCTGGCCTGATTACTGTACCGTGCGCAAAGGATGCTCCTTGTGTGAAGAAGGGTGGAGGCAGACCGCCCCCTGGTGATTAGATGAGACACTTTGATTTTTCCCACATTTTTCAAGCTTTTAAAATTGAAATTGGGGGAAATCCATTTGAAGTAAAAGGGAAAAATGACAATTATACAATGTAAATTGTATACCAAAAGAAAAACTGGTCAGGTGGTTTTTTAAAATCTTTTTAAAAACATTTTAAATTGTTAATATCTTTTAAATGAGTAGATAGAATAACCCACCAGGTGGTTTCAGTTTATTTGGAAAACATTTGATAGGTTAAAACATTCTGCAGCAGTATGCTGTCTTTAGTTTTTGTTTTTTTTTTAAATTGAAAAGGTGAACACACAAAGGGACATTCCACCTGTCATATTTCTGTCCCTCTTTCACCCTGTACACCAAAGTATCAATATGTGGCTAGGGATTTGAGGATAACAACCCTTCTTCAGCCAGAAAGATTTCTCTAGCATTTGCTTACACACACAACACTCCTACAATGTTTCTATATTAAAAATATCGGTAATATTTAATTCTCTAATATTATCTTAGGCATTGATTCCGCTTAGATTGAAATTTCATGCAGTGAAATAGTGACCAGATTTCATACAATTTAATGATGTTCAGTCTAAGTTGGAACCAAATTTGACATACATGGCGTTTGGATAGATTGATAAGTATGACCCTTCCATCAACTTAACATTAATGACTCTGTTGTATTAGAAAATGTGATTAACTCCTTTGCTAATGCTTCAAGGAAAAGGACATTATTTTAAGTAGACATGTTAGTCATTTTAGTTTGAATTCTTATTTGAAATATTCCCAAAACACATGCATGGTTAATCTTTTCCCACTTTTTCCTCTCTGTCCTTTGCCAGCATTACTTAGAGCCTCCTGTGAAACTGAATGAGGCTCTAGAAAGGTACGGACTTAAGAATGAAGACTTTTTTGTCTTGAAGCATGGGGAATCAAGATACCTACGTAACAACGAAGAAAGCATTGAATAAATATGAGCACACGAGCTGTTAATGGAATAAATTTGATATAAATTTGAAAGACTACAAAATTCATGATTTTGATTTTTCATATTTGGAAACTTCCTTTACATCTGCAAGTTTCTGTTTTATGTTTTATGTAATAACTGCACTAATAGGACGCCAGTTCATATAAACGAAGAGTTCAGGTATGGTTAAGTAATGAATTGGCTAAAACTGATTTTTTTAAAGACTCATTTCTGCTCTGTTCTTAAGGGTCTTCTGCAAGGTTAGTCCAGCCTGCTCACATAAACATATTTCTTACTTTCACACTAGAGTAATGATAAAGTTGACTCCTACATGCTTATAGCACTTCTTACTGAGTAGCTTACATGCCAAATATTAAGTGATATATTTTTTAAGCATAAAAACATAAAAGTTAGGCTAAGCTACATTTGTAAAGACAAATTTTTAAAAAGAAAGGAACAGTATATTTCTATTGCATGCCTACAGTCCCTAAATCAAAAACCCTGACAGAATAAGGGAGTATGGTTATGAGAATGTGACTTATGACATTTTCTATTTTTAATCTAAATGTCAGACCTGCTAAATACAAATATAGCTGCAAGGAAATATTTTACAAAGATTAAATGTAGATCTTAAGTGTTAATATACCATGCACTTTGAATTAAATTTTATTTTCTCTGTATACTCATATTTTTCTGGTTTCTTAGCTCTAACTCAATATATCAATAAGATTTATATTTTATGTTTGACATTACTCAGATGTCATATTTTTATATTAAATGATTCCCTCAGCATGATTCTACTTTTAGTAAACCATTGTAGAATACTAATATTTTGTGTGTGTGTGTGTGTGTGTGTGAGAGAGAGAGAGAGAAGAATCAGCTGACCTGAGTGAGCTGATTTGGAGGTTCATTCTGTCTTATTCATAGTCTCAGTGAAATGAGCTTTATTAATAATCATCAAAGTAGGTTTTTTACACCAAATGCTTTTTACACCAGGTGGTGCTGTAGCTCATCTATATGCATGCTAGTTAGCCACTTAATTTCACAAGGACTTTTCTGTTACTGAAACAAGTCACCTATGCTCACTGTGCCTCAGTTTCCTCATGTGTAACAAGAAGAGAATTTTGAGCTACCTCCAAAAACTATGAATAAATAATTGATTTTTTTTTTTAAATGCACTTTGAAAATATAAGGGAGAAAATGACTTTTTAGGATACCCTTACCTAATACATATAGGTAGATTGAAAGCTGAAAATAGGCTAATTTTTTTTATAATGTATTGTTCCTGTTAGAGTTCAGTATATCTATAAGGACACTAAACACTGAGGATTGACAACTTTATCTCATTCATTTTGTAAAATTTGGAGAGCCAAAACCAAATGTAAATGATCTTAATCATAATTTAGCATTTTTATCTACAAAGATGCAAACTGGTCAAAAGTAAGTATATATGTAATGTTTGTGTATATATTGCATGTAAATGTATGTGATTTGGGGGCACTAAAGCACAAAAAATTTTCCCATAAAATGGACCTTCAGGAAAAAAAACAAGCATAAACTTTTTCACTTCAAAGGAGCATTTAGCAAGCAGCTGCAAATCAGAATGTTAGTTTTGAGGTGTGTTACCCTAATACTAGCCAATGTTTTTATGATTACCTTCTTTGCTATTTCACACTGAATGGAAAATTCATCTCTTACCTCTGCTCTATGAAACAAGCTAAGTACCTCTTGTTGATTTCTTCTATGTCCAATGCCTTAACATTATTTTTGTATTCACATTTACCAACTGATGGTCTCTAAGCACTTTAAATTATGTGCTAGTTCCACTTAATTGGGCCTGCCTCATATTTCTAGGCTGCCTCACAAGCTTTAATTACCATTCACATTCTTCCTACTTTGATGTTTTATTACTAAGAAGTACATTAAGCTTCATCTCTCCTTATAGAATCTCACTGTTGAGTTAGTCCCATTTTATTTTTTTACTTATATCTACATTTTGAAGGATTTATCTGCAAAATGAAAAAGAAAAATTGTAAAGTATAAGACAAATATATTCTCTTCCCTTCAGTCTAATGTACTTCATAATACTTTTTAATCTCCTTCCTCTAAGTCAATTTCATTTTCCTCTTTGATTAGCTGGCATCATTACCAAGGTGAGACATTATTGAAGTTTCCCTTTTTCCTGTGGGAACTGAGGAACACTGACATTCCTCATTGCCAGAGAGATGGAACCACCAATTAAAAGTCTCACTTAATAAAAGCCAAGGTGTGCCACAATCTTCAGAGATAGAAATCTGCTTGGGCATTTCCATTATGTAATTCTCTCTGGGTGGTTACAATGACTCCTCTTTCTCCAGCATTTTGACATTTCAGGGTCAATGCTCTTATTTCCAGGATATGTGATTATTCAAACTAATTGAAGAAGAGGCAGTTTTAGCATTCAATGCTGCTAATGCACATTGAAACCAAAGCAGTTAATGTGTGCATTTTGAATACATATTTTCGGTAAATAACAAGGCAGGATAAAACATTACAAAGAAATGTATCTTTCAGGGAATTAATACTTATGTTTGCATCACTGATAAAGTATTATTTTTAGTCATCATATGTACATTAATTACTACTGTAGCCACTTAGGAATTTACATGTTTCATCTCAATGTTGAATCCTTTTTCTACTGTAAAAATATTTTTTCCAATTTTGAGTTCTGTATCAGGATAACTGTGAAAACACATCTTTCTGTTTGAGGATTCTGACTTCCTATGGAAATCCATGTATTTACCAAGGGAATTTAAAGTACTATTAAAGCTTTGCCTTAAATACTTGAGTAGGAAAGCTTCTGCTTGCATTTTTATTAATACTAAGCATGGTGGTGATGAACTTGAATACTATAAAACCTGGCTGAATTTCAATATATCGGTGAATTGTTACAGTAGCTTATGGAGCAAAAATATTATTAAAGATAATAGCTGAGAAATTTTCATATATTGTATGTAATTTTAGTCAAGTAAAATATGGATGAAAATTAATGAATAAAGTACTATCAATTAATAGGAGAAAACATAACCTTGTGAATTACTTTTCCTTTTTATTTAAAAAATTATGATAAAATTAATGCCATAGTAAAAATTTCAAACAGTAGAATGTGAACATAGAAAAATCATTTCCTCACCTCACAGTCCCATGCCCAGGAGTCTGAGTATCATTCTAGAAGTGGCTATCCATATATTAGCCTAAATCTCGTTCATTTAAAAACATTCATATTTCATGGGTGTCTTTCCACATTAGCATATTCAGACCTACTCAGCTCTTTAAGACTAGATGATGGACTTAACCAATTGCCTATAGGTGGGCACTTAGATGGATCTCAGTATTTTATAACAGCATCTTTACATGCTGGCACACTGAATGGGAATGAGTGAGCAGGAGGAAACATTTCTCCGAAAAGTTTACCATTTTCATTGACTGGAATAGATTTTAATAACTAGAATAGACTTTTGAAAGCAGTATGGCTAGGCTGGCAGGTGGACTCAAGAGCATAGGATCTCACTGCTACTAAAAGAAGGTCATTCCTACGGCAGTTCTAAACATAGAAAAGTCAATCACATACTAATGCTCTCTCAGGTGAGTACTAATCACAGCAAACAGCAGAAGAGGAGCTTACATATAAAAAGGTCACTGTCACTTCAAGTAGAAGAAATAATTAAAGTAGCTCAGCAAAGAGCAAAATAAAAGGAAATGTTTCAGAACAAGCTGTTATATTTGTTTGGTATAAATAAAATGGTCCAAAATACATCAGAAGACCATGGCAAGTTCTAGCTGTGGAAATGATGAAATCTGATATTTACTGTTTAAATTCAGCAGCTGGAAGAACCCCTTTGTAAAGAAGATGTTTACTTCCAGACTTCATTACTCTTTGGGAAGCATGACCTACCAGTTAGAATTTGGGTATTATTGTTACCTTTTCCTTCACGTCCGCATCAGGATGATTAACTAATGCTCTCATTTTCTGGGCACATTCTTCTCCATATAACAGGGAAAACAATGAACCTTGAGTGAAAGTAGGCTGAATAGTTAAGTGGCCTTCCTTTTTGAGGCAGTTATTTATATTCTGAAATAGCGTAAGAGCTCGAAGAAGAATCTCCTTTGCCACGTGGCCATCATAAAGGGAAAGGAATGATGAATCCACCTGAAAAAGGAAACAACAAGAATTATTTTAACATATGAAAACATTTTTCTTGTGTATTTTCACATTTTAAAAATCTTACCATTGAACATTATCCCTAAGATTGTATAATATAAATTTAAAATCTTATGTACCCCCACAGTGTATATTAATGGAAAAAAAGGTTTCATATTTTAGCTGAAAAATAAGATTTCCTTGGAATCCTAGAATATAATCATTTGGGAAAACTCCCACTTCCTGACCCATCATACAGTCTTCTTGGGACCTTACCAATTCACCCGTCAAACATTTACTGCACACTTGCCTGCGGGGCACAGTGAGCAGGGTAACAGAGCAGGGTCTCCACAGGAGCTGAGGTGGCTCTAACTGCACCACCTTGTTCCCTTCAGAATACTGAGTTTTTAATTGTCTTGTTCTCCTGTTACATATTTTTGTCTCCTCCCTACACTGTAAGCTCCATGAGGACAGCGCCATGTCATCCTGTACTCACTTGGAATATCGGGATTCAGCCCAGCAAGGGGCGCATACTGGGAACTCCTTTCATACCAGTGTTTCAGTGGGTAAGAGATACATGTGAGCACAACCAAGTCAAGTGTAAAAGATGTGACGATATAAGTAGCTTCCAAATTGGGTGGAGACAGAAAAATTACTATTTATTTTTACTAGGGAGACCTTTTGAAAAACAAATTTTAAAAGTAAAATATGCTCCTTACAAAAATTTTGAAAAGTTCATAGAGGCAAAAAGAACCAAAGAAAAAACATAATACAATATTGCTCCTCCGAGATGATCCCTGTTAGCATTATATCGATAAAAGGGATAAATTCATCCAGGTCCATCTGTCCACATCTACACATTTGCATGTTTACAAAACAAAAAAGTAAGCTATTTACTTGGGCACCAAGTAGTCCTTCCGTCATGGCTGGATTTTCAGACAAATTCAACAGCAGCTTTAAAACCTGAACCTGAAATAAGAGCAATATTTGTTTATTTGAGACTCCATTGGCATGAATTGTAAGTATCAGCATTCCTATCACTTATAACTGACAACTTAGCAATAAAAAAATTAAAATAGAATTCCAACTTTAAAAACAAAGGTCAAGTAAAACTGGACTTTCTATAAGATACTTGAAATGACAGAGTGAGAGCAGGGAGGGGGTTCTGAAGTCAGGAAATGGTGACAAATGTGCTCTCCACTAGACCGAAAAGGAACCGGATGTGTATTTTATAAAACTTGCTCTGATTACAAAGGCATTATGTGTTTACTAAAGAATATTAGCAAAGAAGACAGAAAAGCACAAAAAGGAAATTCACCCATATTTCCATGACCAGAAATGATCACTATTAAGTTTTGGTATTTTCTCCTTGGTCTTTATGTACCTGCTAGAGGCCTGGTTCCTCGGCCTGGCCTGCACCCTTTCACAATCCAGGACCCCTCAGAGGCTGTCGGACTGCAGGTTTCGGTCAGATCCCCACAGGCCAAACCGAGGGACCCCCACTGGTGCACAAATCCATGCACCAGGCCTCTAGTACCCTGTTTCCCCGAAAATAAGACAGTGTCTTATATTAATTTTTTCTCCCTAAGTTGCGCTAGGTCTTATTTTCAGGGGATGTCTTATCTTTCCATGCGTTAGGTCTTATTTTCGGAGGATGTCTTATTTTCGGGGGAACATGGTATGCATATAAGATCTTTGGTTAATCTCTTCCCACTCTTCCCCCCCTCCTCCCTTCCCTCTGAGATTCATCAGTCTGTTCCATGTTTCATGCCTGTGCATTGAGCGCCTGCCCCTGATGGTCAGTGTGTGTCATAGCTACCACCTGAACGATCAAATGGTTGCTTAGGCTTTATATATATATATATATATATATATATATATATATATATATATATATATATATATAGATCCTACATATTCATATATTCCTTTGAATATGTTGAACATACTAATTTGTTAATTGAGAATATATGGCTTTGCTTAATTTTAATTTTATTTTTTTAATCAACTATTAAAAATTATGCAGTGGAAAACTATATGAAATATTGATATTAAACTTTATTTTCCTTTAAATTTTTAAAAATAAAATTAATAAATGATCATGATAAATTTCAAACAGTGCAGAAGAGAACAAGGTAAAAACAAAAGCCACAATCCTATCTGCCTACTGCACTTGCACTGGAAACCATGGGTAAAATTTTCTTGTATATGTGGAGATCATGTTTTCCAAACAGACATCCTTTGTAAAATTACAGCCTTTTAAAGTGAAAGAGCAAAGACGACTTTCGACCTTTTTCTTTTGTGCACTTCCTGGAGTCACTGTCAGGTCTGGGGAGCCCAACTGGCTGCCAACAACACCTATAGAAAGTGTTGGGAATAAACACTAGTCTCCAACTTCACTGAAGTTTTAAGAAAACTGGGACAAGAGTTCTGAAATAGGATAGTCCCAAAACTATGAAATAAGCCTGGATGAAGTCAACAGAATCTAAAAGGCCCTCTAGTTGTCAATGAGGGCAGATTTACAACCAGGAGTAACAACTGCAGCAGCACACAGTATCCTGAACTAAAATTCCATGTTGCTTTGTTCTGTAGAAGACAGATGACATGGAAAACAAACACAAACCACACCAAAAAACATGTAGAGCATGTATTTCAGTTTGAAACCACACTGTCTCGGTCTCTTATCACATGTGCCATCTTGTAGGGGGCTGTGTCATTTCTTTTAAACCATTAAGTTTTCTTTGCTCTCACTGACAATGGAGCAGTTTATGTACATTAATCTTCCACTATTTGTATTTAGTTATGAATCAGTGTTATAGCCAAAAGGTTATTATTTTTAATAAGTGACCTCACTAGTACAGTGAGATCACTTATTAAAAATAAGATATAAAAAAAAGTCATTTTGGTGGTTACTAAGAAAATATCTAAAATGAATACAATTTCCCACTTAAAAATGGATTACTATCCAAAAGTTAGTTTGCAAGTTGAAACTTTTTTTAAGGAGAAAAACAATGTTATAATTGGTGGTTAGATTTCCAGACAGACCAAAAAAGCCAATTTTCTATTCCAGAAATATTGTACTAGGCAGAGTAATGGAAAAATAGAAATAGAACATACTATTGTGGTGGGTGTTACTTCTTCTTCTTCTTTTTTTTAAATAATCCTTACACAAAGACACGTTTTTCTGATTATTTAGAGAGAAACATGGATCAGTTGGTTCCCTCACAGATGCGCTCTGACCAGGGATAGAATCCGCAGCCTAGGTATGTGCCCCGACCAGGAATCAGATCCACAGTCTGGTTTGTGGGACAATGCTCCAACCACGTGAGCCACAGCACCCAGGGCGTGAGTCACCTTTTAAAAAGTCATAAAAATATATTAAAACACAGACCAAGTCTGAGACAGATTTTACAGCCTCAAGGTCAGACTCGCCTGACTCTGAACTCAAGTGCTCCCCTGGGGTTTTGGGTAAGGCAGCTGCACAGAGAGGCGGAGGGGGGGTTTCCTACAGCTGCCAGGCCCCAGGGTGAGGGAAGGGAGTCCCTACAGGGCCCCAGGGGCTGGAAGTCACCTTGGTCTCCTGGAGGGGAGACATGGTGATGGGTGCATGCATTTTGGAAATTGTGACTGGATGGAGCAATATTGTTAAGATATTATTAATATGATTATTACATTTAATTTTGAATGCCTTTAAAAGGATTATAATGAGGCTCTACTGTGATCACAATTTGATAACCTCAGAAATAACTTCAGTGACAACGAGTATTTGGAGTCTGGCTTCATATCCGGTTCTTCTAAGATGCTTGTGCATTTTGCCCAGCCGGTGTGGCTCAGTTGGTTGATCAATATCTGGTGCACCAAGACGGTTTCAGGCTTGATTCCTGGTCAGAGCACATACCTAGGCTTGATCCCCAGTAGGGGTAAGTAGGGAGGCAACCAATCAAAGTTTCTCTCGCACATGTATGTTTCTCTCTCTCTTCCTTCCTTTTTCTATAAAGTCAATGGAAATATCCTCCGGTGACAATTTAAAAACAAACAATCAAACAAATACTACAATGCTTGTGCATTTTTATATCAACTGTGCCAGAGAACAGAGACTAATTCAGTAAAACACTGATGGATCAACCCAACAAATCAGAAACTCTGATTAATCTGCCTCCTGTTTTTATGCTATTTCTTGAAAATGGCACTTGATAAGAATACTCACTAGTGTGAGGGGTTATTCAAGTAACTTTCATAGGGTGTCTCTTGAGATTCTACTGAATTCAGCTCAACCTACTGCCTCCTATGTCTACGTAACAGGTCAAAGTGAAGCACTGAAACACCCATTACTAAAACTTAACAGTAGTATCACAAAGACTTTTCAGCCAATAATGGCTGAATCAACATGTTTTGTTAACCCTAAGGTAAGCAAAAATTCAATTAACCAGCACTATACCTCCAAGACGCCATTGGGGTGGGGGCTGGGGGAAGCTAGATACCTTCAGTAGAAGATAAACTGATGTGCAGAAAACCAAATAAATACCAATCTACTGATGAAGCAAAATATATTATTTTCACAAGTTCATTTTAAAATTCAATATTACGGAATAAAAATAATTCACTTTCTTGGACCCATGTAAGGGTTTTTAATAAACTTTAACTTTCTCTTTTGAGGGACTTGAAAATTCAACTCCAATCTTATAACCTTGATGCGATAGCTCTTTGTACTTCAAGTAATCACTGTTCCTTCGTACCTTGGTGGTTCCATTTCCTGAAAGCAACACTTGGAACAGGTCTGTAATGTGACTGGTAAACATATGCTGATGGTCATTGGTGACTGTCATGTTTGTTAGCAACCTCAGTCCCGCCAACTGCACAGGGGAGTTCAGGGGGCCGGAGAAGACATCCTCACAGACTTGACTGACGTATACCTGGAGGAGGGGGGAAAAGTGAGCATCTGAGAATCTCCAGAGTTTTCCTATTGAACAATAACTTTCTGCACAGTGAGTCAACTGTTCTGAGCACAACAGAATTAAGAGGGAACACGTGTGAAGTCTCTTTGTACCATGGTTAAGCACCTTCGCAGTAGGGTCTAGGAGGTACATAAAGAAATAAAAAAGTAAAGAAGGTGGGGGAGAGTAAAATAGAATTCTGCATTATAGTTAGTCCTATCAAAAATAAGCAAAACTGATGGGAGAATCCAAGATGGCTGAACAGGTAAACACCTCGCCGCAGCCGCACACAACAATTTCAATAAAATACAACTAAAATATAAAATGACATTACCCAGAACTACAGAAAAGTCGAATGACTGGAAATTCTACAACGAGAAGCAAGGAGAAAACCAGAAGGAAGAGGAGCCGGAGAGGAAGGGCGGGGTGGCTAAGTGCCTGGCTGGAGTTCCCTAGTGGGAAGGAGACAAAAGCTCCGACTGTGCTGGGCCCCAGTTCCGACTGCTCTGAACCCCAGTTCCAGGCCAGACCCCGGGGACCCAGGCTCATCCATAGGGAGCTGGGCTGTAAGGCAGAACCCCAGGGGAGCGCTGAAAGGAGGTCCCGGAGGTGCGCACATTGTGTGCAGGGAAGGGAAGGTCGGCTGTGTCGCGGGATTGCCCAGGTGGGAAGGAGACCAAAGCTCCGGACTGCTCTGAACGCCACCTCCAATTCCACTTCCAACTGAACTGAACCCCAGTTCCGGGCTCACTGGGGGAGAGCCTAGACTGTTTGGTAGCAGGCGAAAATCGAGGGCACCTTTCTCTCAGAGGTGCTTGCAACGAGTACTGAAGGACCCTGGGGATTACTGAAACTCAGGAACTGCATAGGGTGGGGCTGACAGAAGCCAAGGCTAGGCTCCACTCTGAAACCCCGCCCCATCAGGGAAGCTGCAAAAATGCCGAGACATCAAAATAGATCACAAACGAAAGAAATGGAGGACAAAAAGCGACTGGATATAGAGTTCAAATCTACGCTTATAAGGTTTTTCAAGAATTTCCTAGAAAAGGTCGATAAGATCTATGAGGATATGAAAAGGGATCAACTAGAATTAATAAGGAATCAACAAGAAATGATAAGGGATCAACAAGAAATAAAGAATACATTGTCTGAAATAAAAAATATTATAGAGTCCTAAAAACAGAATGGAAGATCGCAAGAATCAAGTAAAAGATTTGGAACATAAAGAGCCAGAAGACACTCCTCCGCAGAAGCAAGAAGGCAAGAGAATCCAGAAAATTGAAAATAATGTAAGAAACCTCTGGAACAACTTCAAGCAAACCAACATCAGAATTATGGGGGTCCCAGAAGATGAGAGAGAGCAAGATATCGAAAACATACTGAAAGAAATAGTGACAGAAAACTTCCCCCACCTGGTGAAAGAATTAGACTTACAAGTCCAAGAAGCGCACAGAACTCCAAACAAAAGGAATCCAAAGAGGACCACACCAAGACAAATCATAATTAAAATTCCAAGAGCAAAAGACAAAGAGAAAATATTAAAAGAAGCAAGAGCAAAGCAGGTAGTTAGCTATAAAGGAGCACCTATCCGATTGTCAGCTGATTTCTCAACAGAAACCATGCAGGCCAGACGAGAATGGCAAGAAATATTCAAGGTGATGAATAGTAAGAACCTACAGCCAAAGATAATCTACCCAGCAAAGCTATCACTCAGAATCGAAGGCCAGATAAAGAGCTTCACTAATTAAAAAAAAGCTAAAGGAGTTCATCACCACTAAACCAGAATTATATGAATTGCTGAAGAGGGTTCTTTGGGAAGAGAAGTAAATAAAGATAAAAATTATGAACAACAAATATGTAACTATCAACAAGTGAATCTAAAAACCAAGGAAATTAAAAAAAAAATCTGATGAACAATATTAACTGTTGAATATAATAGGATCAGAGGTATGGAAGGGGAGTGAACTGACAATTCTTGGGGAAAAGGGGAGAGGGGGTTGTGGGAAGAGACTGAACTGTGCACCTATGGATGAGGACAATGGGGGGTGGGGAAAGGGCAGAGGGTGGGGTGGGAACCTGAGAGCAATAGGGTGGGGGGTGGGGGGGGGAGGAACATTTGTAATAATATGAACAATAAAAATTTATTTAAAAAATAAAATAAGCAAAACTATACATGGCCCAAGGTTTATATATGCCTAGGGGAACGTACATAAGCTATACCTTCATAATATTGTTAACCACAGCTGGCAAAAAAATAATGTAATGCCAGAAGACTCAAGTTTCACACATAATAATAGAACTAAACCCAGTATGATGGAAAGTGTTTTGAACTCTATTTTCTATGTCTGGCCATAGTCTTTGGAAAAATTCTCTCTCTCAGATAATTGGTGTTCACCCAACTAAATCTGAACTCCACCAAACACACTAACTGGTGGCAAAAATTCCCAATATAAATGCTAAGATAGTTAACATTTAAATAATACCCAGGTAGTATCCATGTTACCACAGAAACTAAAGCAATGGCAGTAAAGCAAAGAGAGATTAAATTTTTAATCTGGTTTCTAGATCTAAATGATGTTTATAAGTCAACTGACTCTTAGGTCACAATTTCATCACACATCATTCCTTTGGAAAAAAAAAACAAAAAACACCGCATTTCCTTAGGTCTTATAAATCCTATTTAGGTAAGATAGTGATGGCTCTCAAAGCATTTCCTAAAATGTGTTGGGCATTTACATCTCTATGATCTCTGAACCTTTTGCCATTTCAGTTCAGTAGTTGCAGCTCAGTTATTCCTGGACCTGTGCCCACCTTACCTCGTTCCTTTCTCCTGGAATCCCCTCCTCCCCAACTCTACTTGTAGAAAACTTGCTGCCTCTTGCACACCCCCCACTGGGGATGTGCCCGCAACCAAGGCACATGCCCTTGACAGGTACCAAACCCAGGACTTTTCAGTTCGCAGGCCGATGCTCTATCCACTGAGCCAAACCGGTTTTGGCCCTTCTAGTTTTCTTAAAAAAGATGTGAATCATGTTCATTTCTTAGCTCTGTACTACAGATCAGGAACTCAATAAATGCTGAATTAACATAATTTCCTAATTTGTTGTATCTATCATTTGATGTTATTTGACTCTGGCCTGGTTCCTTTACTACTTGGATTAAACTGAATCTCTAAATTCAAAAATTCATTGCACCTCTTACTGGCTGGTTTAGATCCCTCCTCTGCCTTATTCTACACATTAAAAAGTAGGCAGACATTATTCCAAAGGAGAGACACACATGGTCAATAAGTTCACGAAAAGATGCTCAACATCACTAATCATAAGGGAAATGCAAATCAAAACCACAAGGAGATGTCACCTCACTTTTGTCAGAATGGCTATCATTAACATAGCAATAGCCCTGGCCAGTGGTTCCAAGGACAGAGCACTGTCTGTGCACAGAAGGGTCTCTGGTTCGATCCACAGTTGGGTCATATGTGTGAGGCAACCAATCGACATTTCTCTGTTTCCCTTTCTCTTCCTCTCTCTTTAGATTTGATGAAAAGGCATATTCTCAGGTGAGGATTAAAATTTTATTTTTCTTTAAATCAATCAACCAACCAACAAACAAAAAAGTGGCAATAATGGAGAGAAAAATCATCCCTGTGCACTGCTGGTGGGAATGTAAACTGGTGCAGCCAGTACAGAAACAGTATGGAGGTTCCTCAAAAAATTAAAAACTAGAAAAAAAAAAAATTAAAACTAGAACTACCATATAATCCAGCAGTTCCACTTCTGAGTGCTTATCTGAAGGAAACGAAATCAATATTGCGAAGAGAAAGCTATAACCCCATGTACACTGGAGCATTATTCACAATAACCAGGAATAGAAACAAGCGAAGTGTCTGTTGGCAAATGGATAAAGAAGATGTGATATACACAAATGGAATATTATTCAGCCATTAAAGAGGGGGAAATACTGCCATTTGCCACATGGATGGAACCTGGGGACATTATATAAAGTGAAATAAGTCACAAAGAGAAAGACAAATACTGAATATATATACTTATATACAGAATCTAAAGAAGCCTAACTCATAGAAACAGAGTAGCAGGTGGTTGCCAGGGGCTGTGGGTGGGAGAAATGGGGAGATGTTGGTCAAAGGGTACAAACAGCTAGTTATAAGATGAATGAATTCTGGCGATCTAAGTACAGCAGGGTGGCTATAGTTAGTAACACTGTAGTGCAAGCAGTAGCCCATGTATACCTCAAGTTGCTAAAAGAAGAGATTCTAGATGTTCTTACCGCCGGAAAAAGAAGGTAACTATGTGAGATGATGGAGGTATTAGCTAACACTATGGTGGTCATCATTCTGCAATGTATACATGTATCCAATCATCACTCTCTACACCTTCAACTCGCACAATGTTACATGGCAATTACAGCTCAATAAAGCTGGGGGAAAGGGTAATTCTTGGCCATAACGTTATAAAGGATAGTCTACTAAATTTTTATTACTGACCTTTATATTATTTTTGCTTTCATTTATCGATAACCTTACACATTTGTGATTTTAGATAGCTTACCTTTATCTTGATTTGATTTTCAACATTCACACTCAGGTTACTTAGTGCATTTAAAGCCTTCTCTTTAATACTGAAGTTGGGGTCCTTGATTTTGCTTCCAACAATTGGAATACCACCCAATTCACGAATAATAACCTTAGAGGGGGAAAAACAGCACTGTAAATTCAATATGTAGTCCCCTACATTGACTTCTTTGCATCTACAAACACAAATAAAAAATTAATGACTTTTTGGAAATATCTTTCTTATATATAACCCATAATTCCTATTTAAAAAATTTACCACCCATAATATAATAGGTAAAGAAAATCAATTGAAAATAAAATTAAGATGTATTTAAACTATTGCATGGTGATATATAAAGATTTGCCCAGTTACTATAATGATCTCAAAGCAATTTACAAAAAAAAATTATTTCAGTTTGAAATTAGTTATATCATTTCTCTATATAGGCAAATTTACAAAACTATGATTTAGAATACTAAAGCAGTGTTTTGTTAAAATATGTTCTTTGGAATACCAATCCCTCGAGATGTTAATGGATGTTCCATTTTAAGAAGGGGAGGTGTTGTGGCTGAGCCAGTGTGAGCAGCTCTGGGTGTAATCACAGTCACAGTCACCATATTTCTTTGTTGTAATGTTTTAATGTTCATGTGCATTGGGAGGGTCCAAGAGGGGAGTACTGGATATAGTACAACTGAATTCTGAACAACACGGGCTTGAAATGCATAGGTCCACTTATACATGGCATTTTTCAGTAAGTTCTATAACTGTATTTTCTCTTCCTTTTATTAATGTATATATAGGGCACAATGTCACAGGAAGGACATGGTGTCCTGCCACCCATGAGGAGTAAGCCCAAGTTGCTGTTGGATGTGTTATACACAGAGGAGCCATTCTTCAGGCACTCTGCTCTCTCCACATCCAATTTTCCTTATTTTTTTTTAAAAAGATATATTTTATTGATTTTTTACAGAGAGGAAGAGAGAGAGATAGTTAGAAACATCGATGAGAGAGAGAGACATCGATCAGCTGCCTCTTGCACACCCCCTACTGGAGATGTGCCCGCAACCAAGATACATGCCCTTGAACGGAATCGAATTTGGGAACTTTCAGTCCGCAGGCCAACACTCTATTCACTGAGCCAAACAGGTCTCGGCAATCTTCCTTATTATTTTAATGACATTTTATTTTCTCTATATTGCCTTATTCTCAGAATATAGTATACAATACATATAACAAAATATGTGTTAATCGACTGTTTATGTTATCAGTAAGGCTTTGGGCCAACAGTAGGCTATTAGAAGTTAAGTCCTGGGGGTATCAAAAGTTATTTGCATATTTTCAACTGTATGGAGGTTGGTGCTAACACTCTTATTGTTTAAGAGCCGACTGTACTGGTATTTCTATGAACTGTGCACAAAGAGGGTCATTTCCCAGAGTGGTGGAGATGGGAGGGACATCTATTAACATCTTGCAGAACTGGAGTTCCACAGTTTGATAAATGGTTCCCAAATTTTCAGAGGAAAATTAACTCTGGAATTTCTCTCAAGCAATTGCAGCACTATGATACTATGTGCCTTTGGCGCTGAGGCTGAACTGTACAACTGCTCCAACTGTTACAAGAAACACAGGTTGAAAATGATTACTGGCGTGTTTACCAGCAGCCCAAGACCCTTATCCTGTTGTTAAGGGGGCATAGCATGGAGAGGAAAACAAGCCTTCCCTCTGCAGTTCCAGGTTCTTCCCAAACACTTGTAGTTACCGTTACTAAAAACAGCACTCGACCCCCACCCACCCCCACTGCTAAAGCAGATCAAGTCACTATAATTAACAATGAGGGGCACTAACTCTCATTACCCAAGAAAGTACTGATTGCCAGTGGCCACTGACACACTGGCGTACAGTTTATTTCAGAGAGATATAAAACTACTAGTAGCCCTGCGCACTAATCCGTGCTCGAGTAGCTCACTGCCACTTGCCTCAGCTGGTCGCCATGCCCACTGCTGCTCGTAGCTCTACACTGCACATAGCTAGCCGCCCGCCCTCCTGTAGCTCTCCACTGCTTGTAGCTCACTGCCCCGCCTTCCTGCTGTATGAAGTCCCGGACCAATTTGCATATTGCCCTATTGTAAGTATAGATGGCATCAGAAATACCCCAATACAGGCATGCCACTAAATTATTCTCTGTTGTTTCTGATTGCCCGGCACTCCTCTTTCCCTGGGGGCAGACATGGCACCTCCTCTGTCCCATATAGTCCCTGGTGGGACTGCTGGTCAGCTGTGTTCATACCCATCCCTGCAGTATGGCTGCAGGATGCTCCTGTGAGCCAGGCCTCGCTAATCATGGTTCATGGTGCCCCGACCCAGCGACTTGACCCTTGCGCAGCACTCCACCTTCCAGACTATGAACTATAGGGATGAAGGCTTCAGAGGCCGGTGGCTTTGTTTCCATCCCTGAGAAGGAAACCTTTTTGTAGTCAGACACACAGAGACCAACACACAAAAGAAGCAGGCGTAAGCAAAGACAGAAGATAGAGAGAGCGAGCTCCGGTAACACTTTCCATAGCCTTGAACTGTGTTCACTGGTGCCTGAAACCAGTGCTATTCTTGGATGTCCAAGTTAACTGAGCTCAATATTTTCCCTTTCTGGTTAAAATAATGTAAGCTGGGCTCTGTCACTTGCAACTAGAAGAATGTGAGCAATACACAAATATTCTTTCTATTTCATCATAAATCTCTAGAGCTTTACAGTAAACCTTGCTATACTGGAGAAAACTGGATTGAAATAAAGCATAAAATTCAAGTTAATTTTGCATTCATCACGTTAACAAAGGGGCACTAGCTGAAAACAATAACAGAAAATGTTTCTTCTCTTTCTTCATGGGGTCAGAGATGAAAGCATTCAGATTAAGCTCTTTAGTCTTATAAGCTGTTTACATTGCTTAGTGGTTGTTGGGAGCGATCCAGGGACAAGCGGTACCAAAACCATTCTCATAAGAGTTATTAGAGTGAAAAGAATGTACTTAAATGTGAGATGCTTTCATTGTTCTGCTGCTGAATTTTAAATAATTTAAAAGGCCATGCAATGCTAATGTTAGATGCATTTATTACAAATGTGATACCTGTGACCAATTCCATAGGGTTCTAGAAACATATTAACAATCGCCTCGCTTTAAGCTGTGCTTTTCAGAAGAGGTGTAAGAGGTCACATTGTACAGGTGAGGAAACTGAGGCTGACTCCCCAGGGTCACCATTACTGCTGGTGTGTGGGAATGGGAGGAGCCTGTGGGCTGAGACAGGGTACTTACCTGGTTAGTTGAAAAGGCTGCATTGTTGCCCAGAGTGACCAAAGCTCTTTCAATGATTGAAGTGTCCTCAGTTAACTCAAGCAGATAAAGGAGTTTCTGAAGTTGTTCAGCATTTAGGACATCATCATAGGAACCATTGGTTAAGTCTTCTGCATAAAAAGAAAATGATATAAAGTTCACCTAAAATCAGTATGACATTAAACTTTTTTTTAAAAAACAGTAGTGAATGCTCTGATGCCAGGCATGGAGTTAAGCACTTTGTGTTTTGTCTGATATAATCCTCAAGTAATCCTGGGAAGATGCTATTTTAATCTATAGATGGTATTTCTTTTTTAGCAAGACACTGCATGCAAATAAGATATAACCCTAGTGCCAATTGCATTTTCTGTTTCTTAAAAAAAATCAGGTACATCCATCCAATGAAGCATTTGCCTATAGGAATGAGATTTGCATTAAGCAGACCTTTTCTGAACACAATTTTAAGAGAACTCTGGCAGGAGAAAGTTATGGGAGGAACTGAATCGTGTTTTTTGTGTGGCTTTAAAAAAATATTTTATTGCTTTTTTTACAGAGAGGACGGGAGAGGGATAGAGAGTTAGAAACATGATGAGAGAGAAACATCGATCAGCTGCCTCCTGTACACCTCCTACTGGGGATGTGCCCGCAACTAAGGTACATGCTCTTGGCTGGAATCAAACCTGGGACCTTTCAGTCCTTAGGCCGATGCTCTATCCACTGAGCAAAACTGGTTAGGGCTGGTGTGGCATTTTTGTTTGGTTTATATGAACAAGGCATTGATGATTGGGAGGCTCCACAGTTGTCCTGACCTGCTGTGGTGAAGACAAAGGAAAAGCTGTCGTTCTAAGGAAATGCTAGAACAGTCAAATGTTGGATCTGCTCAGTGACTTTTAGAATTATAGCTTTTAACATTAAAAAAAAAAATCCTCTTTGCAGAAATCGAAAACCATTTTTATAATATTACTAGTGGCCCAGTGCATGGATTCATGCACATTGAAAGAAAATTAATTAGGAGAAATATTTTATTTTTTTTTTATTTTTTTTTATCTTTTCTTTCTTTCTTTCTTTTTTTTTTAAAAAAAAATAAATCAATCTTTATTGTTCATATTGTTACAAAGGTTCCTCATTTCTTCCCCCCTCCACCAGGTTCCCACCCCACCCTCCGCCCCCTCCCCATCCCCCATTGTCCTCATTTATAGGTGCAGTTTATGTTCAGTCTCTTCCTCCCTCCCTTTCCCCGATAGTAAATCCCTTTTCAGATAGTAAATCAGTTACTTAGCATTTTCTCATATCAATAATACCACCACATGCCCAATGGTAGATTTCACACAAAAGACATTTCCAAATAGGTCAACCAGCCTCATCCAGGCCCCACCCAAGGCACTCACAGATCAACACCCCAGCCCTATACTAACTCAACACATCCAGATCTAAGCCTTCATCACTTGATTCAGCAGACCCTCAAGTTCCCACAAAAGTTTCCAGCCATGTCTGAGAGGCAGCCGTGGGGCAGGGGCAGGTGAGAAGCGAGCTGTTCCGGGCCTGGCCTCTGTTGCTCTGGTTCGTTCCATAACCAGCTGCTCCGGGTCTGGTCACCGCCGCTCCCGACCTGGCTGCTGCTGCTCTGGGCCTGGCCACTCCCGACCCGGCTGCTCCCAGCCTGGCAGCCGCTGCTCCGGGCCTGGCCGCACCCGACCTGGCTACTCCGGGCCTGGCCGCTGCTCCGGGCCTGGCCGCACCCGACCCGGCTGCTCCGGGCCTGGACGCTCCCAGCCTGGCAGCCGCTGCTCCGGGCCTGGCCGCACCCGACCCGGCTGCTCCGGGCCTGGCCGCTCCCAGCCTGGCAGCCGCTGCTCCGGGCCTGGCCGCTCCCAGCCTGGCAGCCGCTGCTCCGGGCCAGGAGAAATATTTTAATATCACTATTTGCCCTTTCTCTATAATAGAAGTGCCAGTGATGAAAACTAGTAAAATGTTTATGAAAATACATAGATTAATAAACAATAACGTGATATAACAAAGATGATATAAAAACATAATATAAAAACAAAAACATGATATTAAAAAATTGATAAAAATATCTGATAAATTGATTTAACTTATTTTAATATCTCCCTGTATACCACTTTAAGAGTGAAAACATTTTCAGAGTGCTTGACTAATTTCCATTGTGATGAAGTATTTACTACTGTAATGTCACATGCTCTTTGAACTCAAGAGAAAGTAACATATAACTGACCATGTCCGAAAATGGGTTCAAGTAGGACTATTCCTTCTGTCTAGATTGGTGACAGTGAGAGCTTTATATGTATTCACATGCACAAGTCAATTTTTAAATTGCTAGTACATGTCATATGTACAGGTTGGTCGTATGTATAGTCACTTAGCCATATATATATATATGTGTGTGTGTGTATATATATATATATATATATACACACACACACACACACACACACACATTATATATATATATATAGACTAGAGGCCCAATGCACAAAAATTGGTGCCACAGTAGGCCTTCCTTCCCCAGCTGCCGGTATCAGCTTCCCTTGGGCTGCCCACTGGCACCTGGGACTGGCTTGCCTCTGGCCTGGCTCCATCAGGAAGGACATCCAGAATGACGTCTGGTCTAATTAGCATATTACCTTGTTATTACTATAGATTACCCTACCTAGTAAAGAAGAAATATGCAAATATGTGCCACAAAGATGGTGGCGCCCAGTCCCCTCAGCCCTGCCAAAGTCCCCCAGTCCTTTCAGCCCTGCCAGGGTGTGGCAGGCACTCGGCTGGACTGGACCCACCCTCAGCCCCCCATGGCCACCCTGAGGTGTGGGCAAGTCTCGGATGTTGGCTGGGTAGCCGATGCCCAAGATGCAGGCAAGGTAACCAGGGCTGGCCGAGGCTTGCACTGCAGGCAATGGCAGCAGCAGAGGTGTGATGTGGGCGTCGCCTTCCCCTGATCGCCAGGTTGCCTCCTGTCCCTGAGGGCTCCCGCTCCAGTGCATGAATTTTCATGCACCGGTCCTCTAGTTGTGTTATAAACATAGAACAATTCCTTAAAAGTGAAACTAGGATTATAGGTCAGACAGTGCATGTGTCCACACTACACTATTGGAGGTGGGGGAAGAGAAGGGTTATACAAAATAGGTACAATATTATGTCACATCTGTACTTTTCTTTTTAAAACATGTACCAAATTATTATAGGCGGTTATCTTTGGGTGCTAGGATTGAAAGTGACTTATTTTCCACCCTGCGCTGAGTATTTTCTGATTTAAAAAAATATATATTTTATTCATTTTTTATAGAGAGGAGAGAAGGATAGAGAGCTAGAAACATCGATGAGAGAGAAACATCGATCAGGTGCCTCCTGCACACCCCCTACTGGGGATGTGCCCGCAACCAATGTATATGCCCTTGACTGGAATCGAACCCGGGACCTTTCAGCCCACAGACCGACGCTCTACCACTGAGCCAAACCGGTTTCGGCTATTTTCTGATTTTTTAAAAAAACAAACATGTATTACTGCTGTAATTAAAATAATTAAGTCACCCTGGCTGGGTGGCCCAGTTTGTTGGAATATCGACTTGTACACCAAAAGGTTGCAGATTCGGTTCCGTCAGGGCTCACATCTAATTAACAATACTCTATTATACACTTAAAATTGCTGAGAGTGTCTTCAAAGTTCTCACCCCAAGAAAAAAAACAAAAAACTGTAACTGTGTGCTGATGGGTATAAATAAACTTATTGTGGTGATCATTTTGCAATACATAGATATATATCAAATTATTTTAATTTGATATATATGTATATATTGATTTGATAAATACAATAAAGAATGTTATATGCTAAATGTACCTCAATTAAAAAATATCACCTTCTGAAAATTTAAGAATGATACTGACAAGAAGGGTTTTTCTCAATGTGATTCAAAGACAAAGATGTAGCTTCAGGAAGAAGATACTGTGAGCAAGTTATTTTGTAAGCTTCCTTAGGTAATGGTGACTTTGGGAAACAATAAAATTAAGTTTAAAAAGTAAGACTTTGGCAGTAGCCAGTCTGGCTCAGTGGTCAGAGTGACCACCCACAGACTGCAGAATCGTAGCTTTGATTCTGGTCAAGGGTTCGATTCTGGGGGCATGTACCTTGGTTGCAGACTCGATCCCTGCCACATCTGGGCACATTGGGGAGGCAACCAATCTATGTTTCTCTCTCCCCCTCTCTTCCACTTTCTCTAAAAATCAATGGAAAAGATATACTCATATGAGGATTAACAAAATAAAACAACGGAAAAGTAAGACTGTCAGTCTTCATCAGTGTGAGAAGTACGAGCCCAGGCCACTAGATCAATTACTTACTAGTATACAGAAACATCTCTGACACAAAGGCAACATATTAGGCTTTGTACATGAGTATACTAGTAAATGCAAATCTTTTTTTTTTTTTTAAATATATTTTATTGATTTTGTACAGAGAAGAAGGGAGAGAGATAGAGAGTTAGAAACATCGATGAGAGAGAGTCATCGATCAGCTGCCTCTTGCACACCCCCCACCGGGGACATGCCCGCAACCAAGGCACATGCCCTTGACCGGAATCGAACCCGGGACCCTTCAGTCCCCAAGCCGACGCTCTATCCATTGAGCCAAACCGGTCTCGGCTAAATGCAAATCTTTAAAAAGATTTTTCCTTTGTGCGAAAGGGGAAAGAGACCTCCCCATCCATTCCCTTCTTACAGAATTTCCTTGAGCAAACTTGTAATTCCTTTATGTCTCTTTGACATAAATACACATCTTTTTAAAAGATAAGTAAACCTCTTGCCACTTTACAACCCAATAAAATCTTTCTTAGGGGCTTTGGGATTATCTGTTTCACCCAAAGAACTTGTGCGCATATATGCATAACCCATGGACACAGTCAATAGGTGGGTGAAGGTCTGGGATGGGGGTGGGGAGGGCTAGAAGGGGTCAATGGGGGATATGGGGGACATATGTAATACTTTCAACAATAAAATTTTTTTTTAAAAAGAAAATGTAAGCATCAAGGAACACCAGGTGGAGCTGATCTTGTCTGAGTTCAGGCTTGGCACCTGGCTCCATATTGCAACCACCTGCTTATCAAAAAGATACTGAGAAGTCTTATTTTCCCCCAGGAGAAAGGCGAACACAAATAGCCACCCCAACTGCCAGTGCACTACGGACAAACCATACATAGCGAGGTGGGCTTCCCTGCACTTCTCTGGGCAAATGCTGCAGCCAGGTCCTCCTAAGGACAAGCTGTTTATCTTGAGGACATACACGTCACAGGAAAGAGGTTACACCTGGGTCTACTAAGAGGCGAGAACTCTTTGTCTCTGCAATCCTACCCTGTTTCCCCGAAAATAAGGCAGTGTCTTATATTTTTTTCTCCCAAAGTTGCGCTAGGTCTTATTTTCAGGGGATGTCTTATCTTTCCATGCGCTAGGTCTTATTTTCGGGGAAACACGGTAGTAGCAAGCAGATTGCCTGTGATAGGGGTAGCCATCTAGGGGAGTGCTTCTTCTATAACGAAGCTATTTTAGTTCTTCATTTGGAGAGGAGTTTCTTGGTTGCCAGGTGATTTTAATGATTCCCCCTAACAGCGCCCGTGATCTGAAACGTCCGGCAAATGGTTAGAATCCTAACGCAGCCATCCGCTCCTGCACAGACGCCTAACCCTGGGCTGGCCCAGCAGGCAACGGTTCCATTTTGCAGCAGCAGCTGCGTCCACACCCGCCTCCAGCATCCCCGGCTGCACACAGATGTCCACGGAGACCAAGGCACCTGCCCGCTCGGAGGCTGGGCTGTGTCCGGGCACCACTGCCCCTCGGGCGTCCGTCCGTCCGTCCTTCCAGGGCAACTGCCCCAGAGCGGCATCTGCTGCCCCGGCCCCGCGGCCCCCGGCCGCCGCCGGCGGGGACCCCTCCGGTAACACAAAGGCCGGAAGCGGTGGAACGTGAGAAGCCACCGCGGCGCGTGTGGGAAACCGGATCCGCAGCGGCGAGGCCGGGCTCAGGCCGCGGGCCCGGCCATGTTCCACCCCGGGATTTCGAACAAAGAAGCGGAGGCGGGGAAGGGGACGGCCCCCCTCTGCACCTGGGCCTCCCTGCCTCCCTCCACCTTCCCTCCCTCCTCGGCTGCTGCCGTCCCCGCGAGCACGCGGCAGCCAGGGGCGCCTGCGGCATCCTCTTCAGCATCTGCCCCCGGGATCGCCCCGGCCCCCTCCTCCCCGACCTGCCCGGGCCCCCGAGGCCTCACCTGCGGACCGCGAGGGGCGCAGCCGGAGCCCCGGGCCGCCCCGCCGCTGCGCCCGCGTCAGCCGGTAGAGGCAGTAGCAGGCGCCGGCCCCGAGCAGCAGGCCGGCCGCCACCCAGCCCGCGTCCCGGGCGCCGCCCATGCCGCCCCGCGGGGTCCGGCGCCGCGCGGGGCCTGGCGCGGGGCTCGTGGGCGCTGGAGCCTGCGGAGCGAGCGGGCCGCCGGCCGCGGGAGCTGCAGCGGCGCCGCCGGAGGAGAGGGGAAATGGGAGCCGGAGCCCCGCCTCTCGGAAACGCAGAGAGTCAAACCGCCCCCTCCGGCCACGACACATCCCGGCGGCTGCCCGAAGGCGGGGCGAGGGGCGGGGTGCGGAGGGCCGGTCTCCGAGGAGGACGGCCACACGGTGTGACCTGAGGGGGGCCCGGGGGACTGCCACTGCTACTGCCACTGCCCGGGATGGGCTTCCCGGGGCTTCCTCCCAGGCCCGGGCCGCCCCGCCCGAGCCCGCGCCCCCCCCCGGGTGGGGCGGCTTTGATGCGCCCCGCCCACCCCGCCTCCAGCGCCCCGCCCACCCCGCCTCCAGCGCCCCGCCCCGTCCACCAAGCTTCATAGCCCCGCCCACCAGGCCCTGAGCCCCCGCCCACCAGGCTTCATAGCCCCGCCCACCATGCCTCAGAGCCCCGCCCATCCCGCCCCAAACGCCCCGCCTATTCCGGCCGGCGGTTGCCAGGGCGACGTGGGGACGCGCTAGGCCTTGACTCCTGCTGGGCACCTGCCTGCCTGCGGCCCCTGGCGTGGAGAGGAGGCCGGGAGCGCAGTTTCAGTGCAGCCTGTGGCCATGGCCTCCCTACGCAATGCCAGCCCCTGGCTGAGAAATTACTTCAAGGAGAACTATATTCCCCAGGTTTGCGAGGTACTGGAGCATCTCGGCGGAGGGGCTAGAAAGGGGAGGGATCGGAAGGGATTTCCCAGAGGAAGGCTAGGGTTTGTCGGGGTGAGGGAGTGGGAAGGAGGAACGGAATGGAAGAGGATGAAGTCAGCTTTGGTCAGGTCTGGGCTGAAGACAGAGATCCGAGTGAAGACAGAGGGGTGATGGATGGTGGTTGAAAGAGGGGAGTGGGTGACATCTCCCAGGGAGAAAGAGCACAAGGCCCCAGGACAGAAACTCCAACTTTGAAGGTTTGGAAGAGAGCCTGAAGACAAGATCAGGAGTGAGAAGGAAGTGCCTTAGAGACAAAGGAAGGAAACAGGAGAGTGTGGCTTTATGAAGGGGGACTGATGGGGTCTAGGTACAGCCCAAGGCCAGCCTGAGGTTTTAATGGAGCGATAAAGGCAGAAGATAGATTGAGGTTAGCTAAGGAGAAGGGGAAGAAGAGACCTTCAGAGGGAAAGTAGCCAGCTTTTTGTGAAGGCAAGGACCCCACACCTAGTATTTTCTTAAACCGGAGGAAGGACTGCTCTCACTCCTCACCATCATAACAGGAAAGGAGAAGGACAGGATAGGATGGGCAGGTTTTGTAGGAAGTCAAGAAAGTTCTCTGGTGGCTTTTTTTTTTTTTTTAAACAAATATTTGGTGAATGTGTATGTTTGGGTAGGGATAAAGGGAACAGAGGTGAGTTATGGGGAGATGAGGCAGAGAGAAGTCCAGGGAAGGAAAGAGGAGGTGAGCAGTGTTGAGAGCCCGGCTGGGGTGGGGACTCTCCCATACAGTTAGAAGGGCATTTTGGTGCAGCGCCCCTCCCTTTTGGATGGCAATTTGGGAATATTTAATAAAATGTTAAACACATGTGACCTTGACCAAGCATTTCCACCTCTAGGGACCCACTATGGAGCTATACCTGCATATAGGATTAGAAGGTTGTATAAGATATTCATCATAACATTTTTAATAGTGAAAATAGTAAATAACCTCAATGTGAATACAGGAACAGGATATTATGTAGAGTTAAGTATATCTGTACCTTTTGAGAAGAAATACTCCCCAAGACATACTAAGTTTTAAAAAAGAAAATACAAGTTGTCCATCAAAGTGTCAGCTGAAATTTAGCTACTTATCCAATTTCACATATGTATGTATGTGAAGCTGTGTGTGCATACATACATGGGTATATGCATGTTTAAATATATATATATATATATATCTGTATTTAAGAATAATACATGCATAGAACATATGCCAAACTATTTACAGCAAATGTTTTGGGGAATGGTTTCAGAGGAGAACTCTAATGTTTTACTCCATATACATCTGTATTGTTTTAAATTTTGTGATGCTTTTCCTTTATGTTTTACCTTTACATGATTATGTTTGAAAATATGTAGAGAGCGTGTACTCGCCTTCCCAATTGTGTGGTTTTCTCAAGTAGCACTCAATAAAAACCAGATGTAGGAACATAAATACAAGTTGACTCTGTCCAGGATAGGAGTTTGCCAGGCATATAGAGTGGAAAGGCAACCGTAAGGGCGCTAGGCGTTTGAGAGTGCCTGAAGTGATGGGCCACAGACCCTAAGGACTAGGAACTGAGAATAAAACAAAACATTGACATATTGGTAGAAAGTGCAGGCTCCTAAGGGGTGAGTGAAGAGGGCTAGAGGTAGTCATTGAGTGAGGGAGCTGGAAAAGTAGGAGGCAGGAGTCCGAAAGTGGAATGTTTGTATTAAGACTCAGGACAAAGCCATTCTGAGTGATGATGGTCCAGGCTGGCCATGGAGCAGGTAGCAGAAGTGGATTTGAGTTGAGGGTCAGGGAGCATCAGGGGAGTGATAGCCGCTCTTCACCTTGCTCTCTGTTTGCTGTAACATTACAGAGCTGCAAGCGGCCTCCCTGGTTCTTCCTCAGTGTGAACACTTCCTCACCAGCCTCCTGTATTGCTCTGCCTGTGGAGGAAGGAGGCCCTCAGAGGTGCTCCCTGTTGTTTAAGAGGGCATTCTCTTGAGGAGTCCTTCATCACCTCTGCTACCTCATTACCAGCCTGTACTAGCAAAAGAGCAGTCTCCCTGAGGCCCCACATACCTATCTTAACCGGGTTACCTTCTTCCCCTAAGAAGCTACCAGGATGAATCCCATTGTGCCTCATCCCTGTACATTTGTCCATCGCACCCAATTTGCCAGGCCTCACACTCTTTCTAAAACCCATATTTTATAAGCTTTGCAATACCTAATCTCTTATCTCAGATTTCCCTGTATGTTAAACCTCTTCTAAACTTCACCTATCTGTCCTAAATAAAACATGGTGTCTACTTAACATATAATTTCCCTGCAAACCTCTTGGGTAGAGGCTGATTAAAAAAAAAAAAATCTGTTTGATTCACTGTACTTACTGAATCTGTTGAAATCAGTGTTAGGAAACTCTTGGTCATTTTCAAACACTTATTTTATCAGATTCTCTTTCTCTTCTTCTGGGACTACAATTAAAAATATGTTAGATTTTTGTTCTTTGTCCTACATGTTTTTGTTTTTCCCCATTCTTTTGCCCCTCTGTGTGCAAGTTTGGATATTTTTTACTCATTGTCTTAGAGCTTACTGAATCTGTTTTATGTTGTGTCCAGTCTACCGTTAAATACATCAAATGAGTTCTTCATTTCAGAGAGAATGCTTTCCAGTCTAGAATGTCCCTTTGGTTCTTTTTATACAGTCCAGTAAAAATTCTGCATCTTTTCATCCATTTGGTCTGTCATTTCCTGTTTTGTTTTTTTTTTTTTTTAACATGTTAACTCTTGTTCTTTTAAAATTGTTGTCAACGTAAATTTGAATTAAAACGTTTATTAGAATTTTAATTGTTAGAATAGAATAAATGTTCTTTATTTAAATCACTGGTTTGTTTTCTGTCTCCTGACTGGACCTTGACTGATGCAAAAGACAGCTGGAAAGGAAAACAAGGGAACTATGAGATGTGGATGTATCCACTGTCAAAATTATACAGCTAAGATCTATGCATTTGAATTTATGTAAATTTTACCTAAAAAATGTAATTGAGAACAGGTTGGAAAATGGACGGATATATAAATAGCATAAGAATTAGGATGGTGATAATTGTCAAAACTGGGTGATGGTGGATAGGGGTTCATTGTTTATATATATTTGATGTTTTCCATAATAAAAAGTTAAAATAAAAGATAGCCATGTCTGGGTGTTTTTTTCATAATGTATGTAGCTCTGGAATTACAGGCTTGATTTGTTTGTATAGCCATTTTCTGTGTTTGCTTGCTGAATTCATAATCCATGACTATGTAATTCAATGGCAAAATTTAGTGTCTTAAAACAACAGGAATCATTTAGTTTGCCTAACAATCTGAAATTCTGGCAAGGTCTTTCAGGGAGAGCTTGTCTCTGCCCCATGTGGTACCATCTGGCTGGATCAACGGGGTTAAAGATCCATTAAAAAAAAAAAGAATAATTTACTGATTTTGAGAGAGAGAGAAAGGGAGAAGAGAGAAACATCAAGTGAGAGAGTAACATCCCTCAGCTGCCTCCTGCATGCCCCCTGCCAGGGACCAGGCCTTCAACCCAGGTACATGTCTTGGCCAGAATTAAACCAGCAACCTTTCGATGAACACCCAACTAACTGAGTCACACTAGCCAAGGCAAAGATCCATTTTTAAGATGTTTCACTCACATGGTTGGCAAGTTGGTGGTTGATGTTGGCTGGCAGTTTAACTAGGTCTGTGACCAAGTAGGCATGGTTCCTCCATATGGGCCTCTTCATGGGCTACTTGAACTTCCTCACAGCATGGTGGCTCAGTTTTAAGAGCAAGCATCCCCAGAGAGGACTATCACCATTTATGACCAAGGCTCAGAAGTCAATATAACATTATTTTCACCTCGATTCAAAAGGAGGGCACATAGCCCCTACTTTTTTTTCATGTCATTTTTAAGAGATATATTTATTTGTGGGACTTGTATCACAAAGTGAGACTTGGTATTTTACATCGTATTAGCTCAAATTTGTATGCTATAGATTGTCATAGAGTGCAGCCTCACAGTATCATCATTTTAATCTGGCACAGAGTCTCAAGATGGGCTACGGTTGACTTGGCTATCTGTCAGCACTGTGCTGGTTCTCTTTCTTTGAATTTATTGGGGTACAAGTTTTGAGTGTACACCTAAAAAACAAAAACCATCCTCTGCACACTGTATCATGTGCCCATCATCATCCCAAGCGATTTCTTTCTGCCCCCATTCCCCCCACTTTACCCACCACTACCTACCCCCACCCCCGTTTCCCTGTTGTTTGTGTCTGTGCTTTGTAAATATGTTTGTTTTAATCCCCTCACCTTACATCCAGTCCCCCAGTGCCCCTCCCTGCTAACAGCTGTCAATCTGTTCCATGTGTCCATGCCTCTGTTTCTATGTTATTGGTCAGTTTATTTTGTTATTAGATTCCACATATAGTT